AAGTTTGCGTTACTTGACACCTGAAATGTGCCTAAATCAATTAAATACATCATATAGAAATTTACCATGGGAGCTAGCTGGTATATTTCATTCATAATGTTGAAATACAATCGATTATGCTATTTTAATTACTATACATCTATAAATTAAGTATATACATTATTGTTAAATATATATATTATTTTCAGGAAAAGATCTTGATTGAGATACCATTGAGTCTCAATTTCGTCGATTGCAGACTTTAAGAATCTGCGAAATTTCTCCAAATTTCAATAATAATGTTGAAATAACAGATTTTTGGATAGCTGTTAGAAGAATAACTAATGCAAATGGCGAAAAATGTTTCAAGGATTTAACAGAACTTGCTTTTCGTGCTCTTTCTTTACCTATCAGCAATGCGGTCGTGGAACGTGTTTTCAGTATAATGGCAGTGATCAAATCAAAATTAAGAAATCGTTTAACAATGCCTATGCTGGTTGCTCTTATGCGCATTTGCATACACCTGAATGTTCTTGGACTTTGTTGCAAAAATTATTGCCCAACACCGTATATGTTACAATTATTTAATATCCATAACATGTATAATACAGATTCAGTAGATTCATTGTTTAAACAAAACAGAATCTTTCGACGATGATTGCGGTTTTTTAGAATCATTAACTCTTATAGAGTCAGCTGAGTCAATGGATTCATAAAATATTCAAAGTAAAAGATTAATAAATAAGAAAATCTCTGTTTTTTTATTATTTCATTAATTACAAATTAGATTGATGAATATATGTATTTATATATATGTATGTATATAAAGAACTGTGTTTAAAATTACATTTTGCATTCAAATTTATTAGAAACTTGTGTTGGCTACTTTTAGGTTCTTACGTTTTCAAAATTGGCTACTTTGGGCTACTCGAGCGCCATCATTCGGCTACTAGTGACGACAAATTACTGGCAACACTACAGTGGATCGTCGAAGGATCGTGTGTAGGGAGGATTAATTCCGTACACTTATTTCGTATGAGAGAAAAACACTTTAGTTTATTCACTGTCATATGTTGTATATATTATATAATTCAATGTATATTAATGCGTCCACCACATCGAGTTACGCGGCACTCTGTCGACGGAGTGGCGCGGCAGGTACTGTTGCAAATCTCCGTTGCCGAGGGTTCGGCCTCGTTCGGCGAGGACTCGGCCTCGAGTTGGTGAGGACTTGGCCTCGGGCGGCGTGTAAGTCTCGGCTTCTTGCCGAAGGACTCGGCCTCCTACTGTGCGTGAGGCACGCTCGACCGGAACTCGCTTACGCCGGATGCGTCCGCCGGAAGTAGAGCCACATCGCAAGTAGTCGTCACTTCGGACGCGTGGCGTGATTCCGTGGTCCGTTCTGGAA